ATGCTTTTTGTTAACAGTAGACACGCAGCTGGGGACCATGCAGTTCCTGTCGCGTCACCAGAAAACGAGTGAGGAACCCATGGAATATCTACACTCCCTGCAGCAAGCAGCAATAGTAGCCTTCCCAAGCTTAGACGTCTCTATTCGGGAAGAAATAATACGCGCACGATTCACAGAAGGTCTTTTGCCAGGTGCACTACGACAGCACCTTCTGTACATGCCACCAAATAGCATTCAAGACCTAAAAACCACAGTTCTCCGGTTCGTTGCCGCAGACAAGCTATCAAACGCTGTCAATACACCGCAGTTGTCAGCGAATGCTATTGACCAGCCTGGAGAACCACGTCAGTCCTGATTCACTCAAACTGTTTCTGCGGTCAAACGACGCCCTGATAGACAGTCGCCACCAACTAGTCAACATAACCGGAAGATGGAGTGTTTTTACTGCCAATGCTTTGGGCGGAGAGCCCGAAAATCTGGGCACAATAAGTTTTGGAAGTTAGGTGTGACCAGTTTTCCCATTTCTCTTCATATTATATTATATATATATTATTCTGAACCATTGCTTGTAGTTTACAGGGGCTACAGACTACTATTCTACTGGATACAGGAGCTTCAGTATCCATTGTGAGAGAAGGGTTCTTAAGCACATTGAATCTCATAAACCGACAAAAACCATGTTCCTCAACACTAAAAACAGCCGGTGGCGACCTTCTGGATGAATGGTCTAAGGTGTGGTTGGAGGTAACAGTGAATAAACATTCATTCCTACACGAATTTTTAGTATGCCACACACTCACCTGGGATGTTATACTTGGAGTTGACTTCATGTTAAAATACGACGTCGTTATACAGGTAGCTAAGACGGAAGCTCGAATCGGGGAAGTAACCGTTCCAACACATCGCCTTAAGAACGCAACTAAGTCGGTAGCGCACGTAGGGGTGTCGGAAGTCATACACCAGGTACAAACCAATAAACAAGTATTAGAGGATGTCCGTCTATCAACCATTTCCTTACTTCAAAAATTTAGTTGTTTTCTCAGAGAATATCTCTGGTAATCGGACGACCACGGTACACACTCTATTTCCACAGGTGATCATATGCCATTACGTCAACCACCCCGAAGAGTACCGATTCACTATCAGCCTCAGTTAGAATCAATGATAAAAGAGATGTTAGAGAAAAAGATTATTGTGCCATCTTCATCACCGTGGGCTTCACCCATTGTTATAGTGAAGAAGAAAGACTCCTCCCTTCGATTATGTATAGATTACCGTCGCCTTAATGCTATAACAAAGCGCGACTCCTTCCCACTACCACGGATTGATACAACATTGGATGCTATGAGACGTGCTTGTTGGTTTTCGACTTTAGACCTAGCATCCGGATACTGGCAAGTAGAAGTACGACCTCAGGATAGAAAAAAGACGGCATTTGTTGTACCAAATGGTCTCTACGAATTTCAGGTGATGCCTTTTGGGTTAACTAATGCCCCAGAAACCTTTCAACGACTCATGCAGACGGTTCTACATGGTCTGGTACCACACAAATGTTTGATTTACCTTGATGATATTATTGTGTATGGCAGCACGCCTGAACAGCATAATGCCAACTTAAGGGCAGTCTTACAGCGTATTAGGCAGCACAATTTAAAGGTGAAACCGTCAAAATGTCGACTCTTGCAGAAAGAAGTACTCTTTCTAGGACATCGCACTACAGAGGATGAGGTAGCAACAGATAAGGAAAAAACGAGCGCCATTATTAATTGGCCACAGCCGAAATCTACGGAAGAGGTACGTAGCTTCTTGGAGCTCGCTTCTTACTATAGACGTTTCGTGCGCTATTTCGCATCCCTAGCAGCACCTCTACATCGCCTGACGCATAAAGGACGAAAATTTTTGTGGACCATAGAACGCCAACAAGCATTTAACACCCTGAAATCATGTCTTGCTGCTCCACCCATACTAGCTTTTACATGCGATTACCAACCTGGAAGCCGACATACAAACGCAGACGCTCTTTCCCGCATACCTCAAACCGCAGGTACTGTTAATGCAGTTCTTAGCACAGCCCTAGAGATTGATTGGCCTTCCCTGCAAGCAGCAGACCCAGACATGCAGATTATATATCAAAGACAGTTACAGGGAAACAATAAACCATCGATGAAAGAGTTTAAGGATCAATCATTAACAACTCGTCGTATTTGCACTAAATGGAGTAATCTAAAATTATATGGCGACACGTTATTCTTAATTAACGAAGCGAGACAACCTCTATTGGTAGTACCACGGATAAAAGTTGTGAGCATTGTGGAGCAGGTGTACCGCGAACTAGGTCATGCAGGAGAACGAAGGACGGAATACGCGGTCCGCCAGCGCTTTTGGTGGCCATCTATGCATGAAGATGTAGTGCAAATTTGCAAAAATTGTAACACGTGCTGCCGTTTGAAATCGCCTCGACAGACACCTCGTGCACCGTTAATCCCGATGGTGACCACAGAACCACATCAGCGGATCGGCATAGATATCATGGGACCATTAACAACAACAAAGAAAGGGAATCGCTACATACTGTTTATGGTAGATTACTTTACTAAATGGTGCGAAGCAGTACCCCTTCCCCAGCAAGACGCTCTTACGGTTGCCCGAGCTTTCATCGATCATTGGGTTTCCCGCTATGGCGCCCCCTTCTCACTTCATTCTGATCAAGGTCCAGCCTTTGAAAGTCACCTCATCGCCGAGATATGTCAGCTTTTGGGAATCAGGAAGACACGAACCACTGCGTATCAACCAGAAGTTAACGGGCTGGTAGAAAGAACAAACAGAAGTATTAAAGCCATATTGCAAGCCTTTGTGAGCAGATCGTCGCAGGAGTTATGGGATGATGTCCTTCCTCAGTGTCTTTTAGCATATCGTACATCGGTACATGACTCCACCGGGTTTTCACCCGCCATTTTATTATTCGGGCATGAATTACGCTTACCAGTAGAGATACAGACGCCCCTGCTGCCCTGCGAAGTACAGGAGCATGTACCGTACATACGTACTCTCCCTAATTGCTTAGCTGATGTATACCGCTTGGTCAACAGCAATTTGCGCAAAGCTAGTGAACATCAAAAGAACTTGTACGATCGTCCGGTGCACGGACCAGTGTATAAGGTCGGTGATCGCGTTTGGCTACGTCGTCTCATGACATCGTCAGGGAGTTGCAGTAAGTTCCACCAGCCATGGCAAGGCCCCTTTGAAGTCGTCCTCATCCGATCCCCCACTTCGTTCGTATTACGTAACTTGCAACGACCCCAGGATGACGTGATAACTGTACACTATAACCAAATGAAACCAGATAGGATGACAGTTTCCTCGGATACCCAGTTTTATGAGGTACCATCAGAAGGGGGGACAGGATATCCATGTCCGAGACCAGGCACTGAGGACAGTGCCTATTTAAGAGAGGGGGCGGTGTAACGGAGTTGAAATTGCTATGTATGATATACTAATGCATTCTACTTTCTTTCTATTGCAGGGCGACCAAACAAACTCTTTAGAGGAGGAAGAGCAAGCCCTATGTACACTAAGCTTACAGGATGACTCATAAGACTACTTTGTAAACTGACTCTTCCCGCTGTACTCTCGCGCACCGCGCTTTTTGATTAAAAAAAATGTAACGGTAATAAAAATCATTACATGCAAAATTAATAATGTGTGTTTGTATTTCTCATTGCAGGACAACGAAGAGTGAATGCACTGGAAGAAGAAGAACAAGCCCTACGCCGTTTGAACCTGCAGAATAACGAGTAAAACTATTTTGTAATAACTTTCCCCTTTTTTACTAAAAACCGCGTATTTTAATTTTAAATATATCGGCTGTACCAGCACACCGTGTTCTCACTTCAGACGCACTTGTCTGTCCTGACTGTTGTGTTTCTGTTTCAGGTCGCTCCTGCTCCCAAGTAAACGTCGAAATACAACGTGCTACAAAAATAATGAGGCTCGTGATTCCCACTGTGTTCTCTCTTGGTGTGAAGTTCTCGTTTAACATTGTGTTCTGTTTTTTCAGATCTGTACTGCTGCTCTCTAACTGCTGATTCCACGTGTTACACAGTTGTAACGGTAAAAAATCATTACATGCAACATCAATAATGTGAGTCTGTATTTCTCATTGCAGGGCAACAAAGAGTGAATGCACTGGAAGAAGAACAAACCCTACGCGGTCTGAACCTGCAGAATAACGAGTGAAACTATTTTGTAATAACTTTCCCCTTTTGTACTAGAAACCGCGTTTTTCAATTTTCAAATATACCTGTTGCACCTGCACATCGTGTTCTCACTTCAGAAGCACTTGTCTGTCCTGACTGTTGTGTTTCTGTTTCAGGTCGCTCCTGCTCCCAAGTAAACGTCGAAATACAACGTGCTACACAGTAATATAGTAGAATTCTTGATGTCCTGGCGAATCGTTTTATGAAAATTCTCTCCTTCATGGCATTCTAACTAAGTAGGTTTTGCATGATTTAATAGTAGTTTTTTGAGAGTTGCATAGGAAAGCGAAATAGACTTATCTGGAAGTGCCAAAATTTTTAGAAATCTGTAAGCAACCTTTCCGATGAACGTGAGGAAATGAGTCAATTTTTTCATTCTTAAATCCTTTCTTGGTCACACACACCAGATGTCAAATTCTTTCTATATACTCCTGGAAGTCTTCGAAATTCGAATATTTAACCAAATCTTCGATACGCGTCCCATCGCGACTCCAGTATGACAGTTAGAAGTATTCAAATTATTTTACTAACTACAAAATTCCTAAAATAACGCAATTTAGGCCAGATAGAACTAAATGAGCGCAATTGAGCGTGTTGCACTTGAAATTCGTAACTAGTGGGCGATCAATGACAGGCGAATCACTAGTTCGTAAAAATACCACGCAGAGTTATAGGAAAAGGGAGAACAGCGGACAATCCTGAAAAATACCACTCGAAGTAAAAGGCTCCGGCGACAGTTCGTCAATGTCAGGGAATACAACTACTGTTGGCCGTCAAAAAGTATGTCCACGTCTAGATCTGAAACAAGCATGTTGATCTCGAGTGTGCTCTTCACGGGCTTCAGTTAGTCGTTGAAGTATTATTGAGGCGAATATTTTAGACACTCCATTAGCTAAACTGACTCTACTCCGTTTGTTGAAAGGGAGTTTATTTGTTCTTATAAACTGGGACGACCATCGTTCGAGACCAATCAAATGTTATCATGTCCAGGTCCCAGATCTCCGCTAAGATTTGAGTTAGTCTTTGTGTTAAAACTAGAATGCCTTCTTCGAAAATCGTTTAGGTTAGTCGATTGGATGTTGCTGCTCTCCTTCGCTTTAGAGCGCTTACAGATTTTTAGATGCCACTAACATTTGGAGAACTTACATCATTCACTTTGCCAAGAGATAGTGGGCAAATGAAGTATCAGTCAGCCAGCTACAACGTAGGACCAGGCACATATATGCATCGGTCCAAGTTGCCATACCTCTTTAGCACAACAAGATGAACACCGGATTCATAGAAGCAATTAATTTAGTGGTGGTAGTATATAAAGAAAGATTGTATAGAAAGATATAGTACAGGAAGGAAGAGAGATATGAAGCAATTTTAATCTCAAGGTTTAAGGGAAGATAAAGAGTGTATACACCTACGCCATTGTGATCGATTCTGAGCCATGTCACCTAGAGTCTCCAACCATTTATTACGATAGTCACGCGGACCCCAACCAGGTAGTCTGCATCTGCCAACATGGCTCAGGCTAGAAGTTAGTGACTTCAAACACTGATGCCATGTTTTGGTTTGGTCGCCCCTAACTCTCTTCCAACCGTCCCCAATACTAGTCATCATAGCGCGTCGTGGTAATCGGTGTTCAGGCATACGTAACACATGGCCCAACCATCTCAGTCGATGAAGATTTATCACCTCATCAACTGATTTACCATCGTTACCTAATACCCTGCGTCTAACCTCACTATTACTTACTCGGTGATCCCAGCAGATGCGAGCAATATTTCTAAGGCATCTGTGGTCAAATACTAGTAACCTACGAGTATCTTCTACTCTTAATGGCCATGTTTCGCAGCCGTAAAGTAGAACAGAGCGAACTGATGCGCAGTATACTCGTCCCTTAATTGATAGACGGATATCTCGTCTTCGCCATAGGTGACGTAAGTTGGCAAAAGCCAAACGAGCTTTTTGAATCCGTGCTGAGATTTCGTCAGACACCAACCCATTAGGGCTGATCAGACTTCCAAGATAAGTGAAGTTGTCAACGCGTTCGACTACTTCACTCCCTATCCTTAGTTCGAGTGTTGACGCAGGCCAGTCCTGGAGTAACAATTTACATTTGGATGGGGAGAAACGCATCCCAAACATCCTGGCATTATTACCGAGTTCCAACAGAAGACTCTGCATTTTGTCAGCGTCTTCACCAAACAGGACTATGTCATCTGCGTATTCTAAGTCGATAAGTGAACCTCCTGGTAGGAGATCAATTCCTGTAAATTCAGTCGACGAGAGTGTCATTTGCAGCAACAGGTCTATAATGAAGTTAAACAAAAAGGGGGATAGTGGACAGCCTTGACGGACACCACTTGAGGTTGTAAAATCATATGACAGTTCGCCATAAGCTCTCACTCGACTGATAGTGTTCGAGTAAAGAGCCTTCACAAGGTTTATGTACTTCTCAGGTACACCTTTCAATGACAGACACTGCCACAGAACCTCTCGGTCTACAGAGTCAAATGCTGCTTTCAAGTCAAGAAAAACTATCATTGTCGGACGCCGATAAGCATGTCTGTGCTCTAAAACTTGACGAATGGTGAATATGTGGTCGATACAGCCACGACCAGGTCTGAAGCCAGCCTGATTTTCTCGTGTTTGCAGTTCACGAGTCTTAGTTAGGCGCCTGATAATTATTGAGGCTAGTATTTTAGATACTATGTTAGTCAGACTAATCCCTCTATGGTTATCGCAGGATGATTTTGACCCCTTTTTATATATTGGGACAATCAGTGATTGTGACCAGTCGGATGGGATTACATCCGTCTCCCAGATTTTAGCCAGAATATTAGTCAACCTAATCGCTAAAATTGGACCACCATATTTAAAGACCTCTGGAGCCAATCCATCAGGACCAGCTGCTCTTCCTCGTTTCAGATTACCTATAGCCTTTTGAACTTCAAGTAGGGTCGGGGGGCCTACTTCAATGTTCCATTCAGGTTTTCTAGGAATAGTGGGTAGTTGTGCAGTAGCTGAAGGCCAGCTAAACTGCTCCTTAAAGTGTTCCGCCCATCGTTCTAAACGTTTGGGTAGAGAGCAGATAAGGGTTCCATCTTTTTCCGAGATCGTCTCACTTACACTTGACTTCTTAATTCCAGTTTCTTTTATTAGTCTGAATAGTTGCCTGGTGTTGCCTACAGCCGCTGCCTTTTCCATCTCTTTTGCTTTCGTTGCCCACCACTGCTCACGATCGTTCCTTAGACTTTTAGTTAACCTAGATCTAATTTGTTTACGCTCTTCGTCATGTTCAGAGCCTGATGGGATGAGTTTACGCGAATCCATCAGTGAAATAGACCTAGAAGAAATCCACTGGTTTTTTGGAGCCCTATGGTTTAAATGACTAATAGATGTTACTGCTGTCTCCACAGCTGTTCGTATGCCTTTCCAAGCAGCATCTGGGTCAGTCTCGTTTACAGAACTGCCTAGATGTGAACTCAGTTGTCTCTGGAATTCACATTTGGCTTTCTCGTCCTCCAGTTCAATCCTAACGGGTCTTCTTAGTTTACTTTTCCTGCGTCCATTGAGGCGCAGACAAATGCGTGCTCGTACTAAAGCGTGATCAGAGTCTAAACAAGTATTCCAATACGAGCGACAATCTTCTATTGAGCCTCTCCAACGATGACTGATGACAATATGGTCTATTTGAGTCCATCGTTGGTTTGGTGCAGGTGGTCGCCATGTTAGACGATGTCTCTCCTTATGTTTAAAATTAGTGCTTGCCAAAAATAAACGATTGTCTGAGCATAGTTGCAACAGACGATCACCATTATCGGTTCGTTGAGCCGGAATACTAAAACACCCACCTAGATGTCTTTCTGTTTGATTTAAGCTGCCTACCTGGGCATTAAAGTCACCCGCTACGACTACTATGTCTGAGCGCTTAGCTTTCTGAAGAAGCTCAGAGAGCTTTCTGTAAAAGTCATCTTTCACCTCATCATGGCTGCAGTCAGTGGGAGCGTAGGCAGAAACGACGAAAAGACAACGACGTGTGTCCCTATCCTTCCGAGTTCTTACGGAGCCATTTAGCCGGACAGCACACAGGCGACTGTTAACGGGGATCCATTCTAATAGTGCCTGTTCTGCCCTTGTACTTAATGCTATACCTACACCTGCAAGTCCACGAGAACTAGCCAACGGGTCGCCAGATACACGGAGGGTGTATTTCGTTGGCTGTCCATTTTGGCGAGGTGAGGTCAAGTGAATGACCACACTAGGATCCTGTATGCGTGTTTCGGAGACACAGCATACATCAATGGTACGCGACTCTAAGGTTTTAGCTAAGGAGGCCTGTTGACCGATTTGACTTAAAGTACGTACGTTGAAGGCTCCAATGTGTAGTTTGGAGCGAGGTTTTAGTAGACCTGGGACAGCGTTTCGCGCACTAGAATCGTTGGCCATGGTGACACTTGAGGAGGAAACCGAGAGAGGAAGTTTAGTGTTGAAAGTCAAGGTAGTAGGAATTGAAGAAGGAGATTGATTATGAATACAGTGGTCTTGAGTGTTGTTAGAGGTATGAGGGCAGTTATCACTTCCCGGTTGCCCACACCGTGGAAGGATTCTTCTAGAGGTACCTGAAAAGGAAATTGGGTTAGAAGTGGTCTTAATGACTGGAGAGCGTGACCGCAGTGCCCAAGGGACAGCTGCTTGAGGTCGGTCACACACGACCTTTTTGTGGGTAGTTTTTGTGTTAGCTCCGTTCTTCAAAAAAAACCTTACCGCCGGAGACGGATATCCGTGGGATAAGGCGAGGTGTGCATTTTTAGGGTCGACCTTTTCTAACCCCACCCCTCCTTGTGGGAAGGCAGCATCGCTGTCATGCTGGTTGTCTGAAGGAAACACCTTACTGCTTTCACACCTCTGTACAGTCAGCAGTACGACTTCGCCTTCGGACCTTGGGTTTGCTGCTTTTAGTCTCACCGCTCTTCAATCGACCTGTCTGGCATGGTAGGACCTCGAGGAACGATTGTTCCAGCCAGCATAGCTCGATTGGATCATCACGATAGGCAAGCCCGACCACCACGTCAAGGTAGCAGCAACGGTCGGGCAAATGAAGTATGGATGTTGCCAGTTTGACTGTTCTCTAAAATGTTATGCAAATACGTTCAATCTTCCAAACTAGGAGTGAATAAAATTCTCGCTTTTTTTCCTCCAAGATCTCACTAACAGCCGTGTGCTTATTACTCGATTTCTTAATAAGGCTTGATAGTAATCAACTAATAACTAGCTCCACTGACCTTATCATCCATTCTGATTCACGCACACAAGAATGTTCAATAACAATTGTTTGATTTGTGAAATGATAGTCTGGTTCCAAGTCAGGACACATAACTCGGCGATGAGAATAATCCACTCAGTTTTATTCACTATCACTGGCTTCTAACTACAGAACGAGAATTACCTAAGAGCACGAAATATGTATGTGTGAACATACTTTTTTTCTACACAAAATGAAAACATTTTACATGTGATGTTTGTTATTACGACTGGAGCTGTTATTTCACAAACAGCTCACCAGTTTGTACTGTAAAAGCGCTTTGACAGTACAGGGTTTGATATCTGGTGTGTATGACCAAGAAAGGTGTTAAGGATGAAAAAAATTGTGACTCGTTTCCTAAACAACCTCACATCTATAAATTTAGTCTAACCATTGAACATACAAACTATTGTAACAGTGAATTTGACATATCTAAGATAGGTTGGATAAACGGAACATATAACCTGGATGCAATTGTCCTTGTAAGTTGGGGTTCCGAAAAAGCTTCCTAAGACAGCCTTATTGTTTGACTTCTTTCAGTGACCTCGTTAGCTCTTCATTCTTGCTTTCTATATCATTCTTAACCATTGGCTTCCACAATTGGTTTTTTCTACTTAATAGACAGTTGGTTTGGTCGTTAAACGCTTTTCTGTAGGTAAGTACTACTCCTGAACCTTTACCTATTGTATAGATAACCTCATTTCTCCCTAATTTGTTTACTTAATTCTTCACTGCATTAAAAGAAAATCAACATGCATTTCTAACTGTATCTCCCGTTTAACTACTTGTATTTAATTATTTGAACATAAATATTGCTACAAGGAGGCACAATATATATATATATATATGCGCCACAAAAAGTTGTCATTTCATTTAATTGTGTGAGGGCTGTGATACTGCCCGGGTGCCCAGACCGAAGTAGGTGGTTTCCTTAGGAGGCCACACCCGGAGCCTTCGACCTAAAGGTCTGATCCACAAGACAGTGGAGCATCGTAAGGAGATGCAGTCCCATAGTAGCCGGTGACCAACGATTGGTTCATACGCCATTTTTTCCTTCAGGATACTGGAGCCCATGTTCAACATTTGTTTGGAATCAGGGTTTTCCAACTCCCCTGAGTGAACTTTCCGTGTCCACCAACGCGGTCAAAGCGCCGGGCATTCGCTTTTCGTCCTCTCAATTTGGTAAACAACACATCTGCCCCGAGAAGGCAGTGAGTAGGACTTTCGTGGCAGAGGCTATGTACGCGTGGCCATGTGAGAGCGTTTGGATTGGGAGAGTGGACTCTCCCCTCTCTCGCCCATACCTGGACATTTGGGGGCACAAGTTATTTAGTATACATTTTACCCCTAAACAACCTCATATCTGTAAATGAACGTCTCTAACGACCTTGTTATACATTTTCTTACTATGCTCTTATCTTGGGTTCAAGAAGTAGTCGTTCTAAATGTGTTGTCAAGATGAACTCTACAAGGATTGTAATCATTCTGACCTGATCTTCTTGTGAACTTTGTTTCATGCGTCTGTTTGTGTAAGCTCTTCCCAAACTTTTATTTTTTATCCTCCGGAGAAAATAAACTGAACAGAAAAGTATCACTTCAAATCAATTTTTATTATGCCTATACACTGGTATCTGTCTTAATTGTGAAATCTCGTGTACTAAGATGTACTCAGTGATTATGCTTTTTCGAATTTTCTTTAGTTTATACTCGAATGAATCATGATACTACTGCTAATAGTCCCAAGGAATCGGGAACGAATGCTACAGAAACCTCAGTAGGTTCTAAACTTGCACTGCATTATCAAATAATTTTCAGATTCCTTCTCATGAAAGCCGAATTGGTAACAATTCTTTACGACCATATCGTAGCGGAGATTTCCCTAGAACAATGAAACGAAAAGCATCTCGAATCAGTCATCATAAAGCTAAACGTGAAATAAGAAACGCACCATGGACGCCCGGGGATGATTATTTACTGATAAATTCCGTTGTCATGGTAAGTTCAATATTTTGTTGGTTAAGACAACTAACTGGCTAAACGAAGTGTAGACTACTTCCCTATTTTATTGTGGTTGTCCACATCTGCCTTTCAAATAAGTTCTTTTTGAATTACTTTTAAGATTATTAAATGTAGAATATATAGATCAGTCATTCATTCACAGACACACTAGGAGCTGGAATAGATATGTTTTCGTTGTAGTTGCCCTACTTTACATTTAAAACCGTTTTGTATAAGATTTCGCCCCGAAATTCAAATAATTTTGGAGACCATTTGCTGTTCACTGATAATTCATTATTTCTAACCATACATACTTTATAGAAGCTTCATTTGCAAATTCATTATGGGCTTATATACTCGACTTTGAGTTACACTTTTTCAATAATGCTAACGATGGTCCAAAGCATAGTATGTGCAGCAGGGTCCGAACCTTCAACTTGTTAGTTAAAAGTCAAGTTCTCTCACTAATAACCCACTATTTTTTTTAAAAACCCAAAAAATCTAACACGTTGGTATGGATCCATAACTCAAAAGTTTTAGCCTTTAATTTCGGATTTAAAGTAACCTCATTTTCGTTTTCGTCTGACCTTGTATAGTCACCAGCTGTCTCATACGGAATTATACCGTTGCTGCTACCTTGACGTGGTGGTCGGGCTTGCCTGTCGTGATGAAGCAATCGAGCTATGCTGACTGGAACAATCGTTCCTCGAGGTCCTACCATGCCAGACAGGTCGGTTGAAGAGCGGTAAGACTAAAAGCAGCAATCCCAAGGTCCGAAGGCGAAGTCGTACTGCCGGCTGTACAGAGGTGTGACGGCAGTAAAGTGTTTCCTTCAGACAGCCAGCATGACAGTGATGCTGCCTTCCCACAAGGAGGAGAGGGGTCAGAAAAGATCGACCCTAAAAATGCACACCTCGCCTTATCCCACGGATTTCCGTCTCCGGCGGTAAGGTCCTTTGAAGAACGGAGCTAACACGTCAAAATTCCCCACAAAAAGGCCGTGCGTGGCCGACCTCAAGCAGTTGTCCCTTGGGCACTGCGGTCACGCTCCCAGGTTGTTAAGACCAACACTAATCCAACTTCCTTTTCAGGTCCCTCAAGAAATACCCTTCCACGGTGTGGGCAGCCGGGAAGTGATATTAGCCCTCATACCCGTAACTGCACACGAGATCAAGTTGGTCACTTTCAAATCCTTCCTACACCTCCTAATAACTCTCTTATCTCCACGACTAACCCTTCCCACGTCCTTTTATCTCCTCGCACCGCTAGGGCAAACGATTCAAGTACACGGAACGTTATTCCTGGTCTCCTAAAACCACGCTCCAAACTACATATAGGAACTTTTAATGTCCGAACATTGTGCCAAATAGGACAACAGGCTTCCTTAGCTAGGACTTTAGAATCTTACACCATCGATGTGTGCTGCGTCTCCGAAACGCGCATACAAGATCCGAGTAGTGTCATTCATTTGACCTCACCTAATCAAAATAAAGAACCATCTCGATACACGCTTCGTGTATCTGGGAGCCCTGATGCTGCTTCCCGTGGCCTCGCTGGCGTAGGTATAGCATTAAGTCCTAGGGCAGAATTAGATCTTTTAGCCTGGATCCCAGTAGACAGTCGTCTATGCGCTGTCCGACTAAACGGATCAGTAAGTACTCGGAGAGATAGGGAAACTCATCGTTGCCTCTTCGTCGTCTCTGCCTACTCTCCCACTGACTGTAGCTCAGACGATATAAAAGATGAGTTTTACAGGAAACTTTCTGACCTCCGAAAAGCTAGGCGTTCTGATGTAGTAATAGTGGCTGGTGACTTTAATGCTCAAGTAGGTAAACTAAGTGAAAGGGAAAGACACCTGGGTGGATCTTATGGTGTCGTGGCTAAAAGAACAGATAATGGTGACCGTCTGTTGCAGCTATGCTCAGATAACCGCCTATTTCTTGCAAATACTAACTTTAAGCATAAGGAAAAACATCTTTTGACATGGCGACCCCCAAATTCGTCCCAACGTTGGGCCCAATTAGATCACATCGCTATCAGCCACCGATGGAGGGGCTCGATAGAAGACTGTCGATCATTCTGGGGCACATGTTTAGACTCAGATCATGCTCTAGTGCGAGCACGTATCTGTCTGCGTCTTACTGGATGTGGGAAAGACACTGCAGGGAAGCTTCTAAGGGTTCTACTTAATGATAAGCAAGCTAAGAATATATTTCAGGAACAACTGGAAAAACAGTTAGACAGACATGTAAGTTGTGCCCACCCCGAGGCAGCGTGGGATGACATCCGAAAAGCTGTGGAAACAGCAGTGATATCCGCTAGTAAGGTAAGCCATAAGGTCAGGGAGAAAAATGGATCTCAACAGCATCTACCGCACTGATAGACGCTCGAAAACTCATCCCACCTGGCTCTGAACATAAGGAAGAGCGGAGTCAACTTAAGCGAAGGCTAATAAGAAGCCTATGCAATGATCGTGAACAGTGGTGGGTAGCGAAAGCAAGAGAGATGGAAAAGGCAGCGGCAATAGGTAACAGCAGACAGCTATTCAGACTTGTTAAAGAAACCGGTATTAGAAACACAAATATCGGCGAAACTTTCTCAGATAAAGATGTACATGTCATTCATTCTCAATCCAGGAGATTGGATCGACGGGCAGAACACTTGAGGGATCAGTTCAACTGGCCTTCAGCCATACTTCACTTACCCACGATCCCCAGTCATCCTGAATGGCAAATCGAGGTAAGTCCCCCAACTCTCTACGAGGTTGAAAAAGCTATAGGAAATCTAAAGCGAGGCAGAGCCGCAGGCCCTGACAGGTTTACCCCTGAGATTTTTAAGGATGGCGATCCAGTATTAGCAGCGAGATTGACTGAGGTCTTAGGTAGAATCTGGGAACTAGATGTAATTCCATCTAACTGGTCCCAATCACTGATTGTGCCAGTCTATAAAAAAGGACAAACTCTCTCTTGTGACGATCACAGAGGAATCAGTTTGACTTATATAGTGTCTAAAATATTAGCTCCAATAATACTTGGACGCCTAACCAAAGCTCGTGAAGAGCAGACTAGAGAAAACCAGGCTGGTTTTCGACCTGGACGTGGTTGTTTAGACCAGATATTCACTTTACGTCAGGTCCTAGAACATAGACATACATTCAGACGTCCCACAATAGTAGTATTTCTTGACCTTAAGGCGGCATTTGACTCTGTTGATCGTGAGGTTCTATGGCAGTGTTTGTCAGTGAAAGGAGTACCAAAGAAGTACATTAACCTCATAAAGGCTCTCTACTCGAACACAACTGGTCGAGTTAGAGCCTATGGCGAACTGTCATCAGAATTGGTTACCTGAAGTGGTGTTCGTCAGGGCAGTCCACTCTCCCCGTTCCTGTTTAACTTTGTCGTCGACATGCTTTTAGAGATATCACATTCATCATCTCAATCTCCAGGAGTTGAACTTTTACCAGGAGGCTCACTTATTGACATAGAATACGCCGACGATATAGTTTTATTTGGTGAAGACGCTGACAAAATGCAGAGTCTTCTGACCACTATGAACAACAATGCAGGCATGTTCGGAATGCGATTCTCTCCCTCTAAATGCAAAATGTTATTTCAGGATTGGGTTGCATCGACACCTGAACTAATGATAGGGAGTGAAGTAGTTGAGCGTGTTGACAGCTTCACTTATCTTGGGAGTCTCATCAGCCCTTGTGGTCTGGTGTATGACGAAATCTCAGCACGGATACAGAAGGTTTGTCTAGCTTTCGCCAACTTGCGCCATTTATTGCGTTGGCGAGATATCCGTCTAGCAACAAAAGGACGGGTTTACTATGCAGCAGTCCGTTCCGTCCTACTTTATGGCAGTGAAACATGGCCGATAAGAGTAGAGGATATTCGTAGGCTACTAGTTTTCGATCATAGATGTCTTCGAAGGATTGCTCGTATATCCTGGAACCACCGGGTAAGTAATGCAGATATTAGGTAACGGGTTCTAGGTAAGGATGGCAAATCGATTGATGAAGTGGTGAAACTTCATCAGTTGAGATGGCTGGGACATGTGTTACGTATGCCCAACCACCGACTGCCCCGACGTGCAATGCTTTATGGTGTAGGAGTAGGTTGGAAGAAAGCTAGGGGCGGCCAGACCAAAACATAGCATAAATCCATGAAGTCACTGACAAGTGGACTGAGCCATGTTGGTAGGTGTAGACTACTTGGTTGGGATTCGCGAGGTGATAGAAACCGATGGTTAGAGACCTTGAATGACATGGCTCAAAATCGTTTGCAATGGCGAAGATGTATCCACTCTTTGTGTTCTCCCAAATTCTAATCTGAATTGTTTGTGTCCTTTTTCTCTTTCAAAATTTATTTCACTGCATTATACTCCTTCAATAACATCTTCAAACCCTAATCTTCCACATTAATGCTTATACTCTTACTACTTCTACCAATATGGGATTTGAATGGACAACTTCATCTCTGTGCTAATGTGGTATGGCAACTCGAACTGATGTACGTACGTACGAAGTTCTACGTTGTAACTGATTGACTGACTGACTGACTTGATATTCAAGTTGTATCGAGTCAATAAACTTTTAAATGAATATTCTATTGTTATTCAATTAATGTGTTAAGAACTGTTGTTCGAGTTTATCGTGACAGGTTGACAAATATCTTGTTTTTTTTTAAGCAGTCATCTTCCAATCATGTTTTATAACACAACTATTTCAAAAAATATTCTGCATACAGGTATGTAACCTTACAGAAGTCTATCACACTGTGAGATTCGCTGTTCATTTTACGGAGGAAGAAATTGAACGTCGTTGGCGTGGTTTATTATTCGATCCAATCGTATCTAGGTAAGCCGATCACAAACGTTATTTTGACTACTTTTTTATGTTAATTACACCTGTCACCCCTCGCAGGGAAGCATAGGCTGCCCACCAGCACTCTCTATCCAATCCTATCATGGGCAATCCTTTTCAGTTGTTATCCATCCTTTTCATGTCTGCTTCTATTTCCCGGTGTAATGTGTTCTTTGGCCTTCCTGTTTTCCACTTCGCTTCAGGATTCCAAGTTAGGGCTTACCTCGTGATACAGCTTCGTGAATTCCTCAATGCATGTCCTAGCCACTTTCAACGTCTTTTCCTAATTTCCTCTTCAGCTGGAAGCTGGTTCGTCCTTTCCCACAGAAGGCTGTTGCTGATGGTATCCGGTCAACGGACATTCAGTAACTTGCGTAGGTAACTGTTTTTAAATACTTACACCTTTTCGATGTTGGTTGTAGTAGTTCTCCACGTTTCAGCTCCGTACAGTAGGACTGTCTTGACGTCCGTATCGAAGATTCTCACTTTGAAGTTAGTTGACGGTTGTTTCGGGTTCCATTCGTTCTTCAAGTGTAGGAATACGGCCCATACTTTGCTAATCCTCGTCTTAACATCTGCATCAGATCCACCTTGTTCGTCGATGATGCTTCCCAGGTACGTGAATGTTTCTACATCTTCCAGAGTTTCGCCATCAAGTGTGATTGGCTTGGCGTTCTCCATGTTGTATTTGAGGAACTTGCTTTTTCCTTTGTGCATGTTGAGGCATGTTGATGCAGAGACTGCTGCTACATTAGTTGTCTTCGTCCGTATTTTTTCGTGTGTATGTGATAGGATGGCTAGGTCATCTGCAAAGTCCAAATCGTATAATTGATTCTGACATGTCCATTGTATTCCGTATTTCCCCTCAGATGTCGAAGTCATCATAAACCAGTCAATCACCGGAAGAAAGAGGAAGGGGGAGAGAAGACAGCTTTGTCTGGCTCCGATCCTTACTGGAAATGCATCTGTCAGCTGTCCTCGACGAACCGCCTTACACTGTAGTCCGTCGTATGAATTCCGGATAATGTTGGCATTGTTCTCAGGAATTCCGTAGTGTCAGAAAAGTTTCCATAATGTTCTCCTGTCCACACTGTCAAATGTCTTCTCGTTAAGCGCTTGCTACATTTTAATTTGCATATAAATAAAGCATAGTAAATTACTAAAATGTTTGTTAAATCATTTCTTATAAACAGTAATCAATTGTGTTCCAGAGTTCGATAAAGTCATTATCACGTTTCAAACGCTGAACAAACCTCTAGCGCTGAGAAAGAAGACTAAGATTGCATGAGAAGCTTCATCATTAAAAGCTGAATAATAATGTCTACAACTCGAAAGGCGGCTTTGCCTTGAAATATTAGAGGTCAACGTAAACATATAGAGACAATTTTAAATTTAACTTTAATTTGGTGTAGAAGAATACTGAAGTGTTTCCCACTGTCACACACTACTAATAAGAATGTAAGGACTACAGTGTAAATTTGACTGAATGTGAATTCGTTGGTGTACACATTTTGAACTGTGTCAAAAGTGAATGAAATACCAACACCCACTGTTTCATGGTTTTCAATAAGTCAACAGCTGAAACTAATCGAAATGCCATTTTCAACGTATTCAAATATAAAAGCAATCGTTTTTTCACTTGGCTTCGATTTTCGAGTGATATACTGACGATTGTCATTGTGTGCTAAATTCAAGCATTGTTCTACGAGGATTTGTCAGTGAAAGCAATTTAACTGAAATTCAATATATTTTAGTGAAAATATAAAATTGTACGCATAAGGCTCAGTAAACATACATCTTCAAAACAGTGTACGCAAAATAACATTTTAATTCACCAACACCTAGTTGGATCTTATGGGGTAAATTTGAAAAGTCGTAAACTGACAGATAGTAGGTCAATACAATCATAATGTTGCACCAACTGCGCTCGTTTCGTTTCCTCTCGCCAGATTTCAATAATTAACAAATAATATTTGTCAAGAAAGCTGATGCGATGACATCGAACACATTGGAAGTGTAAAAGCTATCGATGATGGTGGCTTTGCAAGGAGGAAGTAGTCGACAAGAAGTCCTGGTCGAACTAGATTTTGTGATACTTGACACTCATCAACAAGATGTACCTGCAAACTTGCATGAACAGATGTTGTTCATATCCATAACTAACCGAACAAATCGTTCTTTAAGCGCCAACCACAACAATGTGGTCAAATCGGCCAACAGGCCTCCTTGGCGAAGACCCTAGAATCTCGTACGATTGATGAATGCTGTGTCTCCAAAACACGCATACAGGATTCTAGTGTGGTCATTCACTTGACCTCACCTCGCCAAAATGGACAGCCGACGAAATACACCCACCGTGTATCTGGCAACCCTATGGCTAGTTCTCTTGAACTTGCAGAAGTAGGCATAACACTTAGTACAAGGGCAGAACAAGCACTATTAGAATGGATCCCCGTTAACAGTTGCCTGTATTTTATCCGGCTAAATGGTTCCGTAAGAACTCGGAAGAATAGGGGCCTTTTCGTCGTTTCTGCCTACGCTCCCACTGACTGCAGCCTGGATGAAGTGGAAAATGACTTTTCCAGAAAGCACTCTGAACTTCTTCAAAAGCGCTCTGACATAGTACTCGTAGCGGGTGACTTTAATGCCCAAGTAGGAAGCTTAAACCAAACAGAAAGACATTTAGGTGGGTATTTTAGTATCCCCGCTCAGCGAAAAGATAACGGTGATCGTCTGTTTCAACTATCCCTAGAGAATCGTTGATTTTTAGCAGACACTAATTTTAGGCATAAGGAGAGACATCGTCTAACATGGCGACCTCCTCCACCAAACCAACGATGGACTCAAATAGACCATATTGCCACCATTCATCATTGTAAAGGCTCGATAGAAGATTGTCGCTCGTACTGGAATACATCTTTGGACTCTGATCATGCTTAAATACGAGCACGCATTTGTTTGAGAGTCACTGGACGTCGAAAATCCACATTAAGAAGACCCATCAGGATTAAAATCAGTGACGAGAAAGCCACGAGTAGATTCCAGGGACAACACGCTTAGGCAGTTCTGAAAACGAAGCTGACCCAGATGTTGCACGGAAAGATATACAAACAGCTGTGAAATCAACAGAGATATCTATTAGTATTTTGAAACAAAGGGTCACTAAAAAACAGTGGATTTCTACGAGGTCTATTGCACTAATAGATTCTCGTAAACTCATACCATAAGGATCTGAACACGACCGAGAACGAAAACAAATCAGATCAAGGTTAACCAAAAGTCTAAGGAACGATCGTGAGCAGTGGTGGGCAACAAAAGCAAAAGAGATGGAAAAGGAAACGGCTGTAGGTAACATCAGACAGCTTTTCAGACTAATAAAAGAAACAGGAACTAAGAAGTCAAGTATAAGCGAAACAACCTAAAATAAAGATGAAACCCTTATCTGCTCTCAGCCCAGACGTTTAGAACGATGCGTGGAACACTTTAAGGAGCAGTTTAGCTGGCATTCAGCTACTCAAAAACTAGCCACCATTCCCAAACAGCTTGAATGGAACACTGAGTTAGGTCCCCCCGACTGTAACTAAAGTTCAGGAAACTATAGCTAATCTGAAACGAGGAAGAGCTGCTGGTCTAGATGGATTGGCTGTAGTTATTTATTCGTTATGAACACATAGATATTGGTAAAAAGAGGTACCAGATAGATATGCAAAACACAATAACAATGAGATGCGTATACGAAAAAGGGGAACAATAACGAGCAGAGATTAGTATATGATAGTGAAATGATAATAATGGGAGAGAAAGTTCAGTTAGCAAGGGTACAACCAGAAAATATTGTTCCAGCAAAAGTAGTTACATCCATCTTTTATGAAGAAAGCGAAAAAGGTTACAGCAGGATGGCCACTGGCTTCTATTCTTAGTCATATCTGGTAACGACTCTAGCCACTATGTTGCACGATCTTTGAGCCCCTAACCAGGTAGTCGTTAAGGATCATCAGATGCCAGTCCTGTACAGCTTTCTTTCATACTACAACATGTCATACACTGAACACTTCTCCGCTTTTTCCAACCAGTCTCAGAGTCGGCAAATAATGCACGACGTGGAGGTTTCTGGGATAACATTCGTAGAACATGTCCAAGTCACCGAAGTTGATGTTTCAAGATGATGACACCAATTAAATTATCTTCACTATGCCCGAACATACGATGTTGAACCTCTGCATTCTTAACATGGTGTTGCCACTGGATGTCAGCAATCCTTCGGAGACATCCCGTCTTCACAGATTGTTCCACTCACACCAGACTTCTTGCTGCCAGTAACTCGGATGAGTTGAAAAAGCTTCCGGCAGTTACCAGATGCAGCAGTTTCCAACGCACTGGCACGCCCCGGCTTCTCAGTCCTTACACAAGCTTTGTCCAGTTTCATTACGCAACAGTCGTCGTTTGTGGTGAAATTCACAGTCACCTGGAGTAGACCGACGGGCTTCAATGTGTTTTAAGGAGCCTGAAGAAACCTAGTGCTTATAAGCGGGTCGTTTCGCGAAGCCACAAGCGACTTTACTCTCTACTTTCATGGCGTCGTGCAATTGCAACCGCTGCTCATCTATACTTTACGGTAGGATGTTAGCTAGCTTTGAACCTAGCTCGGTTTGGTAATTAGTTACAACAGAAGCTGCAACCAATTTACTGACATCGATAGGTTTAGGACGATGAATTTGTTAGCCACTGAAACGTAAGGTAACATTAGCGCAAACAAGGGCAAGATAAGAGCTCAGGTAGGTGCTCTAAAAGGAGCCGGAGTCTTGTACACAACCACGTAAGCGGTAGCTGATCGCGATGTGATCAATCTGTGACCAAGGCTTGAGATGCATCGACCACATACTCTTTATCCGTCAGATATTAGAACGCAGGCAT